AAAAAATGTAAAATAATTAAAATAATGTAAAATAATAAAAATAAAGTATAGCTAACCAGATCGTATGAAAGTGAGAGAATAATGTTATGTGAAGCGCTCGAGAAGTATTTTAGTAATGTTAAGGTATGTGTATACGAAGTATGCTGAGTTTTTGGGAGATTTCTACTCCAAGTGCAGTCTATTAAGTATATTTTGGTTGCTTTTGGCCTCGCACCAGCTGCAGGCATTGTAATTAACAACGTATGAATAAATGGGTTTAGTTTCTAAGGAAATTGTGGTGCTGCATCGGTGAGGGGTACAACAAGATAATTTGGTTTTATAATCCAACTACACAAGGTAGAGTTAAAATAACGCGAATATATGTATATACCACATGTGTACAGTTGGTTATTTTGTTCTGTAAAAAAATCTGTTTAACCGGTCGGCTACGCATGCTGCGCTTCTCTATCCACTTTGCTTTTCCTGCCTTATGAGAAATGAGCAGAAAGACTTGGCGAAAAAAAAAAGCAGTTGGATCATAAATTACCTAGTAGACTATTCACTGGTGTGTAGTATTCCCTAGTATTTTCACTCCTTGTTTGAATTCGACGAGCCTGTGGGGGAAGTCAAAATATGGCACAGCTCCTAAAAATACTCAGGTATGTCACCGCCAGATAAAGAAAATCCGAAAAAATCACCTTGAATCTTATTTCGCAAGATGATCATCTCACAGCTGGAGCTTGGGCTGCCTGTGGTGTGAGTTCAGATAAGTTAAGTTTTTTTTTCTCTCAAGGTGAAGTAACGCGATATTTTCGTCCGTCTGAAAGTCATGCTCTTTTTTTGTTACATGCCTAACAACTCACGTTCCATAACGTACCATAAAAACAATGTCCGAAGTCCGCAAGAACATACCCAATCATTGCACTACACGAACATTAGTCAATTTTTTACGTGCTTGAATTGTATTCCACCAACCAAATTCGCATCTACGCGCGCCCGGGTATTATTCACTATTCATGACTCATTTCCTCGGGAAAGTTAACGATGTATCATCAACTTTTGGTTTTCCTGAGAGTGTCACGCAATGGTAAAAACATCAGTATGGTCGTAAAACAAAAAGTGAGTCATTTGCATCCTGTCGCGGTCGAGTGAACATCTTTGGTGGCAGCGAGAAATTTTTAACGCTTGCCATCCCCAGCTCGAAGCGTTGCTTCTAAGTTATCACGAGCTAAATTTCAGAGGAGTAAAATCAAAATATTCCTACGTCGTGAGATCACTAGGAAAAGAGTACCCTCTCGACACCGTTCGTGTTATAAGTCACCTTCTGAAGAACTCATCAAAATATCTTCGGTCTTGCAAAATTTTACAAATTTAACAGGTTCTTAAGGACGAATTCAACGCTGCATCGCTGACGAAACGTCGTTTTAAGGTAAGCTCTGAAATAATTAATTAGACCAAGTGGATTTTTGTCTCACCCACTCGCAGTGTTCCATCAGTAACATTGCCAGTTTGTATTAACAAAGAAAAACTTATTACATTGTAAAATATAGACAATCCAGTATGAGGCGTGGGGTCCTGGTTTCATATAGGTCTTTCAGCAAAGTGAGCCGGCAACAACACACTAGACCATATGATCGCAGACAAGAGCAAGTTATGAAAATGTTATCGATCTAAAGTGCTGTGTCCCTGCTTACTCTATTTTCTTAGAAGAATATTTAGTGAGAACCGAGAAAACTGAGTGTTACGAGATAATCTGAAGCCTTTTTCCTTTTTATTTTGATTATAAACTACCGTCAACGTGTTATATCCTGTTCGCATTATAGAAATTGAAAGAGGAAGCAGTTGTCACAAACACATGTTTCGAGGGGAGATGTAAAACGCTCCTTGCTTATTAAATGATATAAAACTTGGCAGGTATTTTCATTCAGAGAAAAATTTAAGGCGACAAATCAAAATACGAATTCTTTAACACATCATTTGACTTCTTTTGAAAAAATGTAGGTTATATTAAGAACACAGCGTAACTGAATATTTATCAGCACACCTGTAGAAAATGAAAATAAACTGAAATCCAGCTCGCACATAGATTTTGGAATAGATGATCGTCTTCTTTGCTCTTTTTTTTTTCCTACATAAATTAACGAGTGAACCACATGCTCCTCGTTCTTGTTCGTCATAACTCGAGTCGGAAATTTAACGAAATTTGAAATGAGATTGCCTAATTGCATTTGTTTGTTCTACATAAAATCATGAGTGCTACCCGTTCGTGATTTTCATTGAAGGCATTCTGGGTGGCGAATGTTTATCTATTAGTTTAGTTTGAAATGACAGAAGGAAATAGTCCAATATGAAAGAAAGAAAACATTACAATTAATCCGAGTCATTTCGTTAGTGCCATACCCCCTGACTGTGGTGTACTCAAAGTTCTACGGAGCATGCCCGAAGGTGTGGTTGCGAAAACAACATGGCGCGATCGGTAAGAAGTAAAGATCGTGTAGATTATTATTGCTTCTAAAGGCAAAAGGAAATATAAACCCGGGGTAAAATTGTATCAAGTGGAAAGACTTGTCGACAAGCGGAAATGGTCGAACAAAGTTTCGCATATTATCATGATAACTGTGCAGAGTGCAAACAATGGACAGCTGATTTTATGACTAGCGTATTTACGTGTACTCTATAATATATCACATTTAAATCACCAGCCTTAAAATGCCTGGCTAAATTTCTAAAGTGGCTACCAAAACAACGAAAAAAAAGTGCCGATGCGGCGAGCGCTTTCTATATTTTTTGCCCTGTTGTGACACATCCCTGATGAAAATCTTTGAAGAATCTTTAACGATCCTAAAAGATCTTTATGAGAACCTTTAAAGATCTTCAAAATTCTTGTTAAGATATTCAAGGATATTTCATTCTCTTGCCAGGATCTTCAAGGATCTTCAAAGTTCTTGTCAAGATCTTCAAGGATCTTTCATTTTCTTGCCAAGATCTTTAAGGATCTTTCATTTTCCTGTCAAGATCCACGAACAGTTTTCATGTCAAATATGCAGCAAACTGCTTGCGTGTCATCCTTTGTTTTCAAGGTGTCCGATCAGGTATGACTGAAAATGGCACCTCACTTTGATAGGAACCCTTTTGTTGTTGCTTCTAACTTCCTGAAATTATCACTTGAAATTCGCTCGGTAATGTAAAAAAAACAACAACAACAACGCGAGTAATACATATATATCCAAATTCTTTCATCTCAGGAAAAGTTTTAGGACCTGATAGCATCTTAGGGACGGACCATTAGATTTTTGATGCGGGGGAGGGGAGGTGTTGGGATGTTGGGCAATAACCCCCGAAAAAATCGAGCACGGGCTCAATGGAAGAAAACAAATCGTGCAATTGGCAAAAGACCCCCCCCCCCCCGCATCAAAAATCTAATGGTCCGTCCCCAAGGTACCTTTTACATAATTCCAAAATGGGTTTCGTTTCGGAACGAAATTAATTTCATACCGCGTTTACATGCAAGATAATTATTGCGTGACTAGCTTCTGATATAACTGGGATAGGGGAAAACAACGTAAAACCTGGGCTCCCGGCAAAAAGTAATACCCAAGCGTAATATAATGACCGAAACAGCTTATTGGTCTTATAAAATCACAAATATACTAGCTAAGAGTATTATGTTAGATTTTTTTACAAATTGTAGTGATTTATGCCTCGATATGCCAATAAAAAGTGTCGACAAGTAGGCACACCATGTGTATTTCATAGTCGCTAGCACGTAAATTTTGCCGGACTTTGAGTTCGTCTCACGATAGAACAACACAATTACACAAGAAAATTTTTCCATCCTTTGTCTTTTAAAAGCTGAAAGCTCAGTAGATTCTGTCATATCGGTCATTGTTAAAACTGTCTCTGTTTTGATGCTACTTTTCGACATAGAAAAAGTATGTCGGACAAAGATATTTACCAAAAAATAAATATTTTTTTGCCAGTCTCAATAATGTCAGGGGATTAAGTTTAGATGATAAAACAAAGGATTATGCCGACAGAAATACCGGAGGTTAAGTAAATTCGTTACATGAGGTCACACAACTCGGGTAATATTCAGAGTGAAAATTTGCATATTGAGCGGTCGAACGAAAAATGGTATTTCTGACGAATGAGTCTGGGAATAAGGCAGAAATAAATATTTTTGTCGGCACGAGATACGACAAGGCCTGGACCTTAGGCCCGAGCATCATGGGTAATGATGCATTGGTAGATAAGGGGAAGTATAGCACGTGGTGTCCATCTAGGCCTCAGAACCAACCGTTCACCTCTGGCTGATAACAAATTTATTTTAGTTTGAAAACATGTTTTCTTTACCTGTGAAGCCCTGTAGGATGGGCTGCCAACTGCTCTGAGTTTGGGCCATGGTTCCTACCCAGATTTCCTGTCATGTTTTTTGCCTAAAGGGGTTTTTCTGGCAGGTTTTTTCTGGCCTCTGTATAACCGTAGTTATGTCCTTGTAAGCGGTTGCCCATCTCTGTTAATCCAGACTTGGTGAAGTTTGTATGTTAGTAATGCATATCTATTTTTTTTAATGTGTAAGGAATTGACTGTATATCAGGATTGTATGTGGTATATCAGTTGCGAATATATGTATGTATGCGTGCCTCAGGCTATATATGCCTCGGGTTGGTTCTCGGCAGGCTTCCCTGAATAAACTTATTTGGTGTAAAATACTGTGTTATTTGTTGTGTAGTGGAGACAAAATAAATAATTTCTCAAAAACTAAAGTATATTTTCACAAAAAAACTACACCACAATTATTGGGGCATATTGGGATACAAAATATGAAAGTAGGAGAGAAAACGAATATGGGCAACTTGCCGCTGTTTGTCTGATGCATGTTGACATTAGCTCTCAATTGGCTTCTGATTTTGTGTCTATGTATCCCTCCCGTTCTCAGAAGGGAAAAAAATATTTATTGTTCAACTGGGTATAATGTTGAGCTGATGTTTATAACCATTTTCAATCACCTTTTTTTTCAGGCCAGGATGATTTAAAAGAACAACTTTTTAAGAAGCATCAGTCTTCTTACAGTTGCTATGGCTACAGGAAGAAGTTCAATTAAAGTTCCATGTGAAAATGAAGACTTACCTGACAGAGAAAATGCACCAGATTTTGACGAGGACACTTTACGAGGTGAGCTAGGTTCAACTTCGGCTTCAGTTATTGTTAGAACAATTTCTATTCGATCAGTTTCAAGAATGCAAGCAGATGTGGAAAAGGATATATCCAGTGTATGACCACTTTAAAGGATATTTGGCCAGTCATGACTCTCTTCTATGATTACAATATGCTGTTCATTGAGAAGATCTATGACACAGAAACTTTTGCTATTTTCTTTTCTAACAGTTCAAAGCAATAACACAAAGTTATAATAAGTTAAGAATTTATTTGATCATCATATAACATCCATTGGTACCACCATCATCATCACCATCATCTTTCGATTTTAATAAAACATAATCACTTTGAAACCTTCAACATTCCCTCCTTTCTCCTCGAGCAAGCCACAGGCATTTGATCTTCATCCAAGCCAAAGAGGGTGGGGGGGGAGGGGGTTTAACCCTGCCTGACTGGCGTTAGGGAATTTGAATAAAAACTGTCACATCTAATTTCCAGTAGAGTAAAAGTTTTATTTATCATTGAATATGGAGGTGTTTAAGGCAGATAGTGCTCTTTCACTAACAAATGTCTCAGAAGAAATAAGGCTTCAAGGTCTAGGTTTTAAAGCTTGGTCAATTAGTTTTTAAAGCTTGATCAATTAGTTGAAAGTGAAATTGCTAATTATTTCGCCTTTTACATAAGATTGTGTGGGGCATTTGAACATTTTATTACTTTTGCCCAGGGAATAGGAATTTTAGGAAACCTGTCTCCAAAATCTCTCATCTCCAAGGGTTTGCCTCAAGTTGAGTGATGCTTATAATTCTCATCATTATTCTTACCCATGTTGTCACCTACATTGTTAGCATCATCATAACTATTGAAAATCTACAGATTTGAAATTTCCAGATCTTGGCAGCTCTGACTATACACGAATAATTATTAACTACGACCACAGACTTTGACACCCATTTTTAAATTTTTTTTCGAATTATTTTATTTTTTCTTTGCAGCCACAGCTGATGTTTATAGGAATGAGGGTAATGAGGCCTTCAAGAAAGGAGATTTCATCAATGCTATTCATTTTTACACCAAAGGAATTAAAATGAACTGCAATGACAAAGACCTGAAGGCCAAACTGCACAACAACAGGGCTATTGCACATTCTAAACTTGGTAAGATAATGAGAACTTCAATATGCTTTTTTTTTTCTATTTTGAAGCTATTGAGTTGTCAGTAGTAGTTTTCTGAAAAAGGTGATGATTTTGAATGCATGCCCGGAAAAATTTACATCTTATCTTGGCCTCTCAAATATACAAAGAAGTAACCTCTTACCCCAGATATCAATGAGCATCACAAGTTTTTCCCAAAATTATAGTAATGGTAGTTGGTTTGCAACATGTATGGCTAATCAGAGATATTTATTTCAATAACAGGAAATCACCAGGATTCAATAAGGGATGCAGAAGCAGCCATTGAGTTAAATTCAACTTTCCTTAAGGCAATTGTGAGAGGTTAGATATGTTAGCTGTACTATAATAATAATAATAAAAAAAGAACTCAACACTCTAAGGTTAAATGAGGTTAAATGGAGTTCAATCTTGTCTCAATTGACTTTAATTAAGAGGTCGAGACCACCCTGATGTACATTTGAATCCAGCTCTTGACTGTTACGCCATTACTTTCCATTAATCATGATGAGAATATTATTTTGAACGGGATGAAGAACTCAATGCAGAATGCAGAGCAAAATTTCAGCATGAATATTTTAGTTCCTTAAGTTCAATGAGTCACAGGTGTCAGATATGTAAAGAACGTGTCCACGAGAGCACCGGGCAGTCGTGCTACATGCCATCTCACCGATTTCAATGAAACTTTACCAGTTTAAAGGGTCTACCCCAAAACTCAAAAAGACAGACAGGTTTCTGTTTTGGTTTTTTTCCGGGGGGAGATAGACCACCCCCCGGTTTTTCTTGGTTTTCACCAAGGAAATCGCTTCAAATAGGTAAAATGTATGAAGCTCTCACTGCGATGGTATTTAACCGATTACTTTGAGGATTTGCACACATATTTTTATATCCTTAGTTAATGGCCGCCGCGAGTATCAGTCAGTTTGATTGACGGCTTGTCAATCAACAGAGGCAAATATACGACTGTGTATTTAGACTTTTCGATTCATCTAAATATTTGACAACTTTGAGGTCAAATATCTCCCGTTGCCAGAAAGCTACAACACTAATCTTAATTACCCTTTATAACCCATCATTTCATCTCTGAAAATCATCAAAAAAATCTTTGGGCACTACCGTATTTTTGTCTTGGATGCCTTTTAAAATCTGCGACTGTGACAAGTTTCTCTCAACTACACCTGTCACGCAATTCTTGCTCTAGGCGGTCACTTGACAAAATAAACCTACATTTTTTAGCTCTTTATACAAGATGATTGATCAAGAAAGGTGAAAAATTATAAAAACTTTCGAGAGAAACTTTCGAGATGCATGTAGACGAAAAATCAATGGGAAAATCGTAGCGTTTCTTTCTTCAGTCGTTTATTACTTTGAAGATTTGCTTAAATCAGCAGATATGGCTTTTGTACGGCACAAAACATTCATTAGTCTATAAATTGATTATTTATCATCATCATTGCTCATTGTAGGAAATTTTAAAGTCACATACTGCGTGTTGGTCGATATTACTACACGTTCCAGTGTGCTACAACTTCGGCTTTTGCAGACGAGAAATTCTGCGCTCTCGCTCGAGAGCAAATATCAATAGTTCTATCGGACTAAAAACTGTGCTTCTATCCCGAAAATAAAATTAAAATAGTGTTGTCGTTGCCACTTACCGCCATCGAACATTTCCATGCAGAACTCCGCTATGCTAACATCTGTTGTGTGACCCGAAGACTCTCCGTGGGAATTATTCAAGCGCGTTGTTCATGCTGTCTGCTAGATAACAATTTCAGAATAATCTGCAGATCTCTATGATTATTTGCCTGCTTCGATCGTAAAATATCTGCATATTTTTTTCAAGTTAGTTGCAAATGAACAAGACAACTGCACCATCTTGACTTTATCAATTCGAGTGTTAGATTGAATTGAGGGCTTCACTATGAAGACGTAATACAACTGATACACCTACACTACATAGGATTAACAATGTCTGTTGCGCTGTTGCGAGAAGGAGGAAAATATTACCGGAAGTGTAAACTCTTTTTAAAAAGAGTTTCAGAGACGTTTCAGAGATGTCTATCTTTGATCGGCTGTCACAAAAAAATGACCCCCACTTAAATTTACTAGGAAAAATGAACTTACCAACTCCTTGTTGAAAAAATTGGAATTCATTTGACCGATACGCCGGTTGTTTCAATTTTTCTTTTTCCTCGGGCTGCTATGAAACAGTTCATAAATTGACTAATGAATAAAGTGTTTTGAAATACCGTTCGGGATTTGCCTTTTTTTTCTGCGTGCAAATCAAGGGTAGACAAAGTTTTTAAAACATTTGACTAGAATTTCATGGAGTTCACCTCGATAATTTTCGTCGGCCAGAGTCAAGACGCGCCGAGGTAAGCGACATCGCCCTCCAGTAAAATAATTTTCCAAAGAATAAACGTGGCGAGCGTGAGGAAACGCACATTTTTTTCATCATTGTGATCAAAGCCCAATGATGTACCTAAATTGGTACTTACGGTATCAAACCATTGATTATGACAGGGTGAGCTTAGTTTTTCTGTCGAGGTCGACGTGACTTCACATTAAAAGCATTTTTGACGGAAACAAACTAGTGAGCATCACTGCACGAACTGAGAAAGTAAAAACTTGTATTTATCTCCCACGCGTTTCGTCTGACAATAGTAGACTTCATCAAGGATTTTTTCAAGTAGGGTAAATAAGCTTGCTCATATACAAATAGTAAATAAGTTGTCTCTTTACTATTGAAGTCAGTGGATAGAATACGCCAGGTGCGCCTACGGTGTTATACATGCGTGACATTTTCCGGACGTTACATGTACGAGTACGTGATCCGTTTGAGGGTCACAGATTTAGTGTAAATATTTCACTCCTCAACATCACCCAATGTCTCTAGTTTACAGAGGTCTTAGAACGTTTCATTATATGGAGTTGCCTTCTGCGGGTAGAAGGCTACAAGCGAATTTCTCAGGCGTAATTGCCTTTGATTTCTCAATTGATGTTGTCGCAAACACAGTTTTTGGGAGTCACGAGACAAAAAAACTTATCAGGACCTAGTTTCATGTTCTAATGGAAATAAATAGCAAATAAAAACACATTTTCTTGAGAAATAAAGTCACAAATGACGGGGGTTCTCTGAAACAAATAGTGATAGAAAAGGATTTCAGTTCTGGTCAATATTGACTTTTCATGGCCTACTTCCAAATCTGAGGGAACGTGCTGAGGGAATAAAAAAACATAAATGTGTGATAATGCAAGCAAGAGAATGAAAATACAAATAAAGAAAAAGGAGAAAACATAGGAACCCGTGTTGCAGCGTGCAGATATCTTTTGAACCAGACCTACACACATAAGCCCGACACCAGCCAGAGAAACTCGAAAGAGTCCTGTATATGAACTAGCTCGCACGTGCACGCAGGAAAGGCCATGACAATCAGCGAAAATAATAGCAAATGCAGATGATATTTGCAGTCAAAAAACAGGAAAATAAGATAACAGAAGGATTAGGAACTTTCTAGAAGTGTCCTCTTGAAAAAAAAAAAAAAAAAAACAATTTTTACTTCTCATGAAAGGTCACGCAGTAACCCTACAAATACTATTCCTATACGTGGAATTTCTTGATGGTGGAAAGTGGAAAAAACATTTTCCAGTCTTATTTTCTGGAAACATGGCGTAGTTAATGAATTTATGGGGCTATTGATATTTCCTAACAAATAAGGGGGCAGAGTTTCCCGTCATTCGCGGTATGGAAAAGCCGAAGTTGTTACACTCGGGAACTTGTACGTCAACAAGCAGGCGACATGTGACTTTAAAATCTCCTCTCCTGTTACAGTTTCCTTATTGTAAACTGTGCGATAATGATAATAGACGATCAAAGTATAGGCTAATGAATGTTTTGTTCTGTACAAGAGCCCTATGTCCTGATTTTAGCAAATCTTCAAAGTAATAAACGACTGAAGAAAGAAACGCTACGATTTTCCCATTGATTTTCCGTCAACATGCATCTCTCTAAACGTGAAATTTTCCATTCCTACAAAAAATCTCGAAAGTTTTTCACATTTTTCACCTTTCTTGACCAATCATCTTGTATAAAGAGCTAAAAAATGTAGGTTTATTTTGTCAAGTGACCGCCTAGAGCAAGAATTGCGTGACAGGTGTAGTTGAGAGAAACTTGTCACAGTCGCAGATTTTAAAAGGTATCCAAGACAAAAATACGGTAGTGCCCAAAGATTTTTTTGATGATTTTCAGAGATGAAATGATGGGTTATAAAGGGTAATTAAGATTAGTGTTGTAGCTTTCTGGCAACGGGAGATATTTGACCTCAAAGTTGTAAAATATTTAGATGAATCGAAAAGTCTAAAAACACAGTCGTATATTTGCCTCTGTTGATTGACAAGCCGTCAATCAAACTGACTGATACTCGCGGCGGCCATTAACTAAGGATGTAAAAATATGTGTGCAAATCCTCAAAGTAATCGGTTAAATACCATCGCAGTGAGAGCTTCATACATTTTACCTATTTGAAGCGATTTCCTTGGTGAAAACCAAGAAAAACCGGGGGGTGGTCTATCTCCCCCCGGAAAAAAAGACCAAAACAGAAACCAGTCTGTTTTTTTTTAGTTTTGGGGTAGACCCTTTAAACTGACAAAGTTTCATTGAAATCGGTGAGATGGCATGTAGCACGACTGCCCGGTGCTCTCGTGGACACGCTCTTAAGTCACTATCTAGCTGTTTTAAAAAGAAGGATCAGGACTTACCTAACTTTTAGTGTTTTTGTGGGAGTTGTTGATCCCAATTTAAGTGTTCTTAGAAGTTTCAGTTGTCTGTAAAGCTAAATAAATCTAACTGAAACCTAATAGGGCCTGTTTATTCTTTTCCGTTTAGTTTTTTTGTATTGTTTTGTTTTGTCTTTTTTTTTTCTTCTGGTCTGTAATGATTTCAATGGTTTCAGGTTCTTTTCTCAGAATTGAGCTACAGTAATAGTATGCTTCTTTGTGTTGTTGCCTACAGGAGCCACTGCTTGTGTTGAATTGAAGAGATTTGAAGAAGCAATCACTTGGTGTGATAAGGGACTAGCTGTATCCTTTGAAGGAATCTTTCATTTTTAACCGTGGGTATAATGGAAAAAAGTTTCCATAATTTGATGTTTCAAGGGAGAAAATACAAAGAAGGGTATTAATTATGATGGGAACTTGTCAGCTCATATACTTTAAGTGTGTGTGATTAAAAACATAGGAGAAGTTATTACCTCATGACTTATTAATGAAATTACTCCTTTTAGCCAATTTGACTTAGTTCTACTATCCATGCCAATAACTGGTACATTAGTTTAAATAACCCTTTAATTTCCCAGACCAAATTTGTAATTATCCTTACTGTCAACCATACAATTCTTGTAATGTTAGTACAGAGAATTCAGTATTGCATCAACTAACTATTTTCAAATTGATATATTTTTTTTTACTCTCAACACTTATCTGATTGATATTGTATTGCTATTGTAAGGAGAAATTCTCTTTTGGTCACTCACGGGAGTTAAAGGGTTAGAAGACTAATATTCATCCAGTTTATACATAGTACTTGGGTAGATGATCTCTCTAAAACAAGCCAGAACAAAAAGCTCGGTAATGTTTACATATCTTATGCAGATTTTCTTGCCTTCGACCTTTTTCCACTACTTAGAGACTCGGAAACTTTCGTTGTGCTTTCCTATGGACAAATAAAAATTTTAAAGACATGTATTTGTGTTGTAGACTCATTTCTTCCACTGCTGTAAAACATTTGTCTGATGTTAAAGCTATATTAATTTAAAAATTGAGCAAGTGCTGCTCAGTTTTTGGAAACTAGGGATTAAATCTAGATATTTCGCGTTATTTTGAGGCTGCACACAGAAAAAACATTTTTTGAAGTGTAGATTTACTTCATAACTGACTTTAAGACTGAATGTTGATAAATCATCTACCTTTCATGCAAAGCCCTCCTAATGGGCCATTTTATAGTTGTGTACTTAGTTGCCAAGCCTTTGATATTTGGAGTGAGGCTGAAGGTGACCTTGTTGTGATAGAGACTGGTATCTAGAAACGATAATAACAAAGTAGTTTGCATTTAAAAAGCAACAATGTTTTTATCATAACAAGGTCACCCTTAATCATCCCTCTTGTTCAGAGGCTTGGGAACCAAGCACGCAAATGTTAAAATGGACTATTACATATCAATATGATCAGAAACATAATCTTTTTTGTTTTTTCCACATTTTTAACCCTTAACATAAAAAAGATTGACAAAAACAATAGGATCTTGTTGTCATTAAGACTTCAGTCTGTCAGTGAAGTGGGAGATAAGTCCATGGAGGAAAAAGATCCTATTAGTCATGACCATGGTGGTGCAAGTTCAGGTGATGTCAAGAAAGTCATAGTAGTGCAAGTTCAGGTGATGTCAAGAAAGTCATAGATCTCTATAATCGGGGAGAAGAAGCCATAGAGTACCTCAACCTATATCTTAAAAAAGCTAAAGAAGTAGGAGACAAGCATGGGGAGGGTAACGCTTATGGCAATCTTGGCAATGCTTATCACCGTCTGGGTGATTTCAAAAAAGCCATAGAGTACCACAACCTACATCTTAAAATAGCTAAAGAAGTAGGAGACAAGCATGGGGAGGGTGGTGCTTATGGCAATCTTGGCAATGCTTATCACCGTCTGGGTGATTTCAAAAAAGCCATAGAGTACCACAACCTACATCTTAAAATAGCTAAAGAAGTAGGAGACAAGCATGGGGAGGGTGGTGCTTATGGCAATCTTGGCAATGCTTATCACCGTCTGGGTGATTTCAAAAAAGCCATAGAGTACCACAACCTACATCTTAAAATAGCTAAAGAAGTAGGAGACAAGCATGGGGAGGGTGTTGCTTATGGCAATCTTGGCAATGCTTATATTAGTCTGGGTGATTTCAAAAAAGCCATAGAGTACCACAACCTACATCTTAAAATAGCTAAAGAAGTAGGAGACAAGCATGGGGAGGGTAACGCTTATGGCAATCTTGGCAATGCTTATCACCGTCTGGGTGATTTCAAAAAAGCCATAGAGTACCACAACCTACATCTTAAAATAGCTAAAGAAGTAGGAGACAAGCATGGGGAGGGTAACGCTTATGGCAATCTTGGCAATGCTTATGACCGTCTGGGTGATTTCAAAAAAGCCATAGAGTACCACAACCTACATCTTAAAATAGCTAAAGAAGTAGGAGACAAGCATGGGGAGGGTGGTGCTTATGGCAATCTTGGCAATGCTTATCACCGTCTGGGTGATTTCAAAAAAGCCATAGAGTACCACAACCTACATCTTAAAATAGCTAAAGAAGTAGGAGACAAGCATGGGGAGGGTGTTATGGCAATCTTGCTTATGGCAATCTTATGGCAATCTTGGCAATGCTTATGGGGACCGTCTGGGTGATTTCAAAAAAGCCATAGAGTACCACAACCTACATCTTAAAATAGCTAAAGAAGTAGGAGACAAGCATGGGGAGGGTGGTGCTTATGGCAATCTTGGCAATGCTTATCACCGTCTGGGTGATTTCAAAAAAGCCATAGAGTACCACAACCTACATCTTAAAATAGCTAAAGAAGTAGGAGACAAGCATGGGGAGGGTAACGCTTATGGCAATCTTGGCAATGCTTATCACCGTCTGGGTGATTTCAAAAAAGCCATAGAGTACCACAACCTACATCTTAAAATAGCTAAAGAAGTAGGAGACAAGCATGGGGAGGGTGGTGCTTATGGCAATCTTGGCAATGCTTATCACCGTCTGGGTGATTTCAAAAAAGCCATAGAGTACCACAACCTACATCTTAAAATAGCTAAAGAAGTAGGAGACAAGCATGGGGAGGGTAACGCTTATGGCAATCTTGGCAATGCTTATATTAGTCTGGGTGATTTCAAAAAAGCCATAGAGTACCACAACCTACATCTTAAAATAGCTAAAGAAGTAGGAGACAAGCATGGGGAGGGTAACGCTTATGGCAATCTTGGCAATGCTTATCACCGTCTGGGTGATTTCAAAAAAGCCATAGAGTACCACAACCTACATCTTAAAATAGCTAAAGAAGTAGGAGACAAGCATGGGGAGGGTGGTGCTTATGGCAATCTTGGCAATGCTTATCACCGTCTGGGTGATTTCAAAAAAGCCATAGAGTACCACAACCTAGCTCTTAAAATAGCTAAAGAAGTAGGAGACAAATCCTTGGAGGCAATGGCCTACTCTTCATTAGGATGCGTTTTTGAGTTGCAAGGTGGACTGCCAAAAGCCGTTGAACATTATCAAGCTAGCATAAACTTATTCAATTCCTTGAGAGTACTTCTAAAATCTAAAGATGAGTGGAAAGTTAATTTTCGAAATCAGCATCAAATGGCGTATACGGGTTTGTGGAGAGTTCTCGTAGAACAAGGTAATGTAGATGAAGCCTTATTTGTTGCTGAGAAAGGACGAGCTCAAGCTCTGACCGACCTCATGGAATCCAGTTTTTGTGGTGGAACAAGTCACCACAAGGGAGAAGATGAAGATTTCACAGTTTTAAAAAACGTTCCATCAAACACTGTCTTTCAGGCAGTGGACAAAGCTAACGTCAATCTTTGGGTTGTGTCCGAAGGAAAACAAGTTCAGTTAAGACAAAGTAAACTCAAAGGTTTTGTTTCAGAGAATAGTGGATCTAGCCAGTCCTTTGAGTCGTTCATGCTCGGTGTCTATACACAACTTGGTGTTCGTTCTAATGTGAGATGCGAGAATCGATCTTTAGATGCTTTGAGGGAGGGCCGTTCAAAAGTGGATGAGAAAACCAAAGAAGCCAACCCTCAACCTCACATCCAACAAGACGGATGCTTGAGCACTTTGTATGATATCGTTATGAAGCCGGTGGCTGACTTGATTGAAGGGGATGAGCTACTCATTATTCCTGATGGACCCCTGTGGATCGCTCCTTACGCTGCATTGAAGGATGGTAATTCTAAATACCTGTGTGAATCGTTCACAATCCGAGTCGCTCCATCGTTAGCAAGTCTTAGACTCATTGCCGATTGCCCAGATGATTATCACAAAAGCAGTGGTGCGTTACTTGTAGGAGATCCGTGGGTATCCGAGGTTACTAACAGCGAGGGAGAGAAAGTCCTCGAGCAGCTTCCGTGTGCTAAAGAAGAAGTAGAAATGATCGGAAAAATTCTGAATATCACGCCAATCACTGGCAGACAGGCCACGAAACGTGAGGTGTTGAAAAGACTCAGTTCCGTTTCCTTAGTTCACTTTGCGGCACACGGATGTCCGGAAACTGGCGAAATTGCTCTTACACCTGACCTAGACCGAATATCTACTGTGCCTACGGAGAAGGAGGATTACATTTTAACGATTCGAGATGTGTTGAATGTTCAACTTCGCGCCAAACTTGTTGTGCTCAGTTGCTGCCACAGTGGTCGGGGCGAGATCAAGGCTGAAGGTGTGGTTGGCATTGCGCGCGCTTTTATGGGGGCTGGTGCTCGGTCTGTTGTGGTGTCCCTGTGGGCGATTGATGACGAGGCTACTCTCCAGTTCATGAAATGCTTTTATCAACACCTTGCAGAAGGTAAACCTACAAGCAAGTCACTGAACCTGGCCATGAAAAGCCTCAGAGAATCAGATGAGTTCCACGACATCAAATACTGGGCGCCCTTTTTGCTGATTGGAGATGACCTCACGTTTGACCTGATGGCAAAGGAAAGAGAAAATTTGAATAGAAAATCAAATAAATGAGAAAATGTTTTTTTTCATCTCAAAAGAATGAAGTAGGAACTTGGAAGGTTTAAATGTTTCTCTATTTTAAACAATTTTTGGCTATTTTTCTTTACTTTTTATTTTTTTGTTAAATGGAACTTGAGATGTGCAACTTTACTATGGTGAAGAAATAAACCAGTCTATTTCATTATATTTTGATCAGTGGAATTGTCATTTTTTGTTACCTTAACAAATTTAAATGCTTGCGAAGAGAACGAAATGCAACAAGGCCTCTGTTATGAACGAGGTTTCCATTTCCACCAACATGTCACTCAGCTCTGTTCCTGTATTACAATCAGTTGTATGGAAAATAATTTAAAGGTTATTTCTTTTACCCAACCAGGGGCTTTTCCACCGGATTTTAATTACCTTTATGCTCTAAGCTTTTGATAAGCAAAGAAACAATTCGTCATTTGCAAAAGTTGGCGAATTTTTATTTCCAAAACTTTGATTGAATATGTATGTGAATTGAATATGTGAATTGATCTTAGACCGTTTTCTACATCATAAATTACTTTGTTACAATTTACCTTCATCTTTACAAAAAAATTGATTACCATTTTCAACTCAATCCATTTTAATGCAATCTAGTTCTGTCAGTGCCAAGATTGCCATTCTAAGCTTAATTTGAAGAAGTAAACATCAGAGATGATGTTATTAAATTTACTAACCATATGTTAGAGACATTACACCTACTTTTAGGGGTGTAGCCAGCCTCTAGTCCCGTAGGCCCGGCCTACAATTGTTTTCTGCCCGCTTGACTTTTACTAAAAGATAATATGACTCTTGCAAATGTTGAAACAAAAATTGAAATTTGTGAGGGAAGAGGCTTACATTTAGTCAAAAAGCTGGCTACAACCCTGTTTTCAATCAAACGAGTCTGGCCAATTTTTGTCCGTTTTACCAAACACTTCTCCGTTCGTTTTAAAGAACGACGACAGAGAGGCTAAAAATTGTCCATGTAATCTAAACTAGGAAAGAGGGACGCAGAGTTCACTATAATTAAAGTTTCCATAGGTGTGACTTTTATTGTATGTGACATGGAATTTGTTGTTTCTAGTAGGACAATATTTACGCTCATAAATGAGAGAAGCAGTTAACGTAAGCCATGTAGTCCTCAATGGGAATTATTTTGGTGAAAAGGCTCATTAATTAATGTAAACCTAGTGCGTAGTTGAAAAGGTTCAGGGCTTCAGGATAAAACTTCTAATTGTTGAAAATCACCTCTTCAAAATTCATCGCTTGAAATTTACCTCAGCATGATTTGAAGATGTCTGATAATATCTTTGTTAGGTTTAGGAATTTATCGCTTTGTAATTAGAACCCGTTAAATTTAAGATATACTGTATCAGCATGATTTGAGGATGTCTGATAATATGCGTGGTTGAATATAATGTAACTAGGATTTTAAAGACATGCTGGGACAGTTTCAACTAAACATGGTTTGTATAATGTCAGTGTATTTCGTGTGAAGTGTTTTGATGCTATTTTTTTTTAAGTTGAAGATAATTGTTCATTTACCTTAGTTTATATTAATTAACTCATGAACTCCCAAGTTCTGAAGAAAAATTCTCCCAACTGATAAGAATGTGTTTCTCTTTGCTGCCGCTTGTTCCGAGAATTCGATGTAACATTATGTTTCTAGTAAAAGATTATCCTCCAGTTTGGATTTTCTCTAATTGTTATTGACTCCATGTTTGTCGGTGTATTAATACCGTGAGGAGAATTTAAATTATGATCAGTCTTGGGAGTAAATGGGTTCATTTTAGCGTCTCCGTTTAGCGCGTATTTTACTTAATGCCTTGAACGATTTAATGCAGTTTCTATTGTGCTTATTTTTTTACTTCTTTGTGTAAGAGAAATATAGAGTGTATAAAATACAAAAACTGCGTTGATTTACAGTGTCTGTCTCCATATTCTTAGGATGCACGTAAGATGTAGAGAAAGCAGATCCTATGGGGACTTCAATGCTTGTTTTGACCCGCGCGCCAGGTTGATAATTGTGTGCAGCTAACAGTGTACTAAAATTCCATGTTTCAAACTCCCGCCCACTTAACAAAAGCGCGTCATCTCTTCGATTGTATCTCTTTCACTGTCTATCGTTCTCCGTATTGCCACACGGTTTTGAACGCCGACGGACGTGTTCATACTGTTACATGTGTGCGCCTTTTTTTATCTTTTTCCTCACACAAGTTTTTACACCTTTTCACATTTGCGCATCCCTTTTTTTTCTCCTTCCTCTGGTTCCTTCCTTTTTTTTCATTGCAATTTTCCTTTATTCCCATCTTTACGCGCACCTCTTTTATCCTCAACTTTATTCTTCTGCGCTTCATAGGACGCGACTATCTCCTTGTCTGTTTCAATTTTCATTCGTCTCGATCTTCGCGCAACGTCTGGCTTCTTACAACTCATATACCTCGTTACTCTCCCAGAGTAGTTGTTATTATGTTTATTTTGTCCACTTTGGGATGGTGTCCTCTTAAAGTCATCTCTAGTGAAATCTCAGTTTTCCTTTCGATTGATTCCTAGTCCACAGGGTGCCAGTGCTTGCTCTCCTCAGTCCTCTCATCATAATAGCAGTTATAAAGCGGAAGAGCTCCCTTCAAGTCTCGACCACATAATCGGTGCATTTTGTTGGAAACGAGTCCCTCAATGTCCAAATTAAGGCTTCTTCTATCATCTGATTGGGAATGGGTCAAACTCTCGCCCAGGGTCCACCTACATTGCGAATTCAAGATGGCGGCAGGCCAATCCACATTGTACCGTTGCACTTATGTCCTCTTATTGCAGATATGTCCTCTGACGTAATGTGATACAGTGGCCAATCATATCCTGTGATCTATCGAGCGACACGCGGCTCGGGACTGGTTAAGAGACTTCGTTGTAGTAATGTTTTCAAGCAAAAGTACTCATTCAAGGGGGGTCGGGATAAGTGGAAAATTTGACCAGTATTTTCCGGTAACTGATCTCAAGAAAACATGCTGTTCGCATGATCATTGCGAACCGGATTATTGGCCTCTCATATTATTTTCTTTGAAGTTCTATCGTTCCTTCGTTAGCGCCGTGTGATCGCATCGTTGTTATAACCTAAACGTGGAAGAATAACTACTGAGCTACGTAAATAACAAAGCGACTTTCGACCAAAGGATGCCTTATTGTTCACGCTTTATTTGCAGTCTTGCTTTATTTACTGTCTTCATTGTTCGACTTGCGACTCCACTGACAACATTTTACCCACAAGCTGAGACAAAAGCACAATGTGGCGTCATATCACAATTGTTTTATTTTCTTTAATAGTTGAAGATCATAGATTATGGTTCGTCGGCATAAAATTATATATTTTTGACGCTTCGCTGATCTGCCGGAGGTGAGATCGACTGAGAGGTCAAAGTTGTGATAATTTGTCTGCGTCACGAAGTCTTCCTTCAATCACAGAAGTTTGGCCTTCAGTTGTTTATTTTGAATATTGTAGGTTTATGTTATATCGCACCGAGCCCTCCGTAAAAATTTGAAGTAGTAGATTGTGATGTGATTTTATTGCGGTTCCACTGATTTTAGCTGTTCTTTTTTTAGTACTGTTTCTAAATTATCGTTGGATTTATTGCACTTTTGGGTGGATTTGTCTTAATTTACCCCGTTTACGACAAATTCACACAATGATCAAATCGAAAATCGGGGTAAAGATGGCTATGGCAAGTCAGTAGGATATATTCCACGTAAAGGATGAATTTACCCCGTTTTTCTAGAATTCGCTGATCAAATGGAAAATCTGGGTAAAGATGGCATATGGGAACTTAGCGTGTTAGCCACTTGCGGATGAATTCGAAGTTTTGTCAAATTCACTGAAAAAAAAGGAAATTCGAGGTAAAGATAACATATGGGAACTTCGGGTATTATTCCCTTGTAACATGAATGCTCAGAATTTACCCCGTTTTTCTCGAATTCACTGATCAAATGGAAAATCGGGGTAAAGATGGCATATGGGAACTTAGCGTGTTAGCCACTTGCGGATGAATTTGCAGAATTTTGTCAAATTCACTAAAAAAAAATGGAAAATCGGGTTGAAGATAACATATGGGAACTTCGGGATTATTCCATTGTAACATGAATGCTCAGAATTTACCCCGTTTTTCTCGAATTCACTGATCAAATGGAAAATCGGGGTAAAGATGGCATATGGGAACTTAGCGTGTTAGCCACTTGCGGATGAATTTGCAGAATTAATCCCGTTTCTCTAGAATTCATTGAAAAAAAAATGGAAAATCGGGTTGAAGATTGGATATGGTAACTTGGGATCTATTCCATTTGGAGGATGAATTCTTAGATTTTACTCCGTTTTTCTAGAATTTGTTAAAAAAAAAAGGAAAATCGGAGTAAAGATGGCATATGGGAACTTAGCGTGTTAGCCACTTGTAGCATGAATTCTCAGAATTTACCTCGTTTTTCTAAAATTCACTGATCAAATGGAAAATCGGGGTGAAGATGGCATATGGGAACTTAGCGTGTTAGCCACTTGCGGGCCGAATTCTCAAAATTCATCCCGTTTTTCTAGAATTCATTGCAAAAAAAATGGAAAATCGGGTTAAAGATTGCATTTGGCACCCTAGGATCTATCCCACTTGTAGGACGAATTCTCAGAATTTACCCCGCTTTTCTAGAATTCACCAAAACACTTTTCTTAAAATTTGTAATTTTTCCTATCTTTTATTTTTAACTAAGACAAGCCAGCCGCACAAAGAAACACTTCTTGTAGTTGTAAGTTTCTCGTTTATCTCGGACGCGTTTCGTCTCTAATTGAAACTTCTTTACGGAGTGATTACAGTTAAAGAGGAACAGTATATTATATAGCACGTTGGTGTGCTTAAGTTTTGAATTTCCATGGAAGTTAATGAAGAAATGCAAAATGGTTTCCGTGTTTACATAGCCTGATGTAAACACGCGTGAGGTTGGGAGAACACGAGATAAGCGTGGGAAACCACGTCGTGAAGCAGAGTGGTTTCCAGCTTATCGAGTGGTCTCCCAACCTCCCAAGTGTTTACATCAAGCAATGTAAACGCGGAAACCATTTTACATTTCTTTTATAAAATAACCAATGAAAGAGGAACGAAAACCGTGTTTACATACGCTCATGTAAAATGGTTTTATGGCCAATCAGAGCGCGCGTACTATTCGAATTATTTTATAATAATAACTGAAAGCGGGCGTTATAAAAAACACCTAAATACATATTAAGTTATTGCGTACTGCTTTATTTTGGGGGGCTAACGATTCGCGCTAATCGTAGAATTCACTGCTGAAAAAAAGAAATGGAAAATCGGGGGTATAGATGGCATATGGGAACTACGGGTATTATCCACTTGTAGCATGAATTCTCAGATTTTACCCTGTTTTTCTGGATTTAATTCATTTAAAAAAAGGAAAATCAGGAAATATTTGACACGACAACGTAGGTTATATTCCACTTGTGGGATGAATTCTAAGAATTTACCTCGGTTCTCCAGAATTCACTAAAAAATGAAAATCGGAGCAAAGATGGCATTTGGAAACTTCGGGTATTATCCACTTGTAGCATGAATTCTCAGAGTTTACCCTCTTTTTCTGGAATGAATTCATTAGGAAATGGAAAATCGGGGTAAAGATTGGATATGACAACTTAGGATATGTTCCACTTACGGTATGAATTCTCATAACTTACCCCGTTTTTCTGGAATTCATTGCAATAAAAATAGAGGATCGGGTTTAAGATCGGATATGGAAACTTAAAATTTATTCCACTTTTGGGATGAATTCTCAGAATTTACCCCGTTTTTCTGGAATTAATTAGAAAAAAACGGAAAATCAGGGATGTCACGAGTTATATTTTATTCCAATTTTAAGATGAATGGACACAATTTAGCCTGTTTTCTGTTTTCAATGAAATGGAATCGTCGTTTCTGAGACCATGTTTGTTTTTAATTTCGGCGTTGGATCGCGCGCATGTTAAGCTGGGTCGCAAAAATTTTCGATTCCTCGGCAATTCCCTTCTCTAAACACCACTTTTTCCAAACTGACAAAAAAACTAGTGTTTTACAGTGTTTTCGTTGTTTAAGCTGTTTATCAAAAGATATATTGTTTCGCTCGCAAATTTTCAAATTTTGTTGCGACATCTGAGGCTCGAATTTGATTGGCTATCTGTGAGAATTATTGACCAATGAGAATATCTGATTTGTTTCTTTCTTTGCACTGAATTAACCCTCTTCTGCACTGAATTAACTCTCTACTGAATTACCTGAAAACTGCATTTATCTTAACCAATCAGAACTGAGAAATTTCTCCATGTAGATTATTAGCTGGAAAAGAGAATGTAGCCTTCCCTATAAAATATTGATCAATCTACAAGTTTTGGTGTTATGTTTCACCACTGTGATGTTCTGATTGTTGAGAAGGGTCTGCATATATTACCCACACCCTTGGAATTTAAGTCAATTTAGCGTTAAAAATGTTTTCAGGCAATGGGAAATTTTCTCAGAAGTCGCTGTATACGCAGATGCATGTGCATATATCGACGGCAAGCTATTGATTTATCTTTGCTTGACAAGCAAAGTGAACATCTACGTAGAGGCCTACGGGTACTATGCACCGTCAGATAAAACATCGTAACAGAATAATTGAAGGGTTGAGTGCAAAAGAAGCCATTCCAAAAGGATCTCATTCAAGATAGACATCTAACCAAAAAGTGGGATGCTTATACGAGAAAAGAAAAGAAAACCAAACTCAGTTAATTCAGATTTAATCAAATTTTCAACAGATGACAATATTAACAAGCATTACTTTCTTGTCATTATTAACATGCATCACGAACGACAATTGAGCAATAACTATTATTCATGCTAATGCTAAGTCAAAGCTTTGACAGTTTATTTCTCAACGAGATATTGTAGATGAAGATAAAGAGTGATTTTATCCAACCAGTGAAATTGGTCATAAACTACTGTGCATTACAAACATTTTTGGTTTATGTCATGTTTTCCATACACAATACGGGGTGATCCAACAATCAAACATGCGTGCTGGTGTCATACAGGTTTGTTCACATACTCTTTCATGGGTTCATTAAAATCACTCTAGTTGTTCCTTTTTAAATGTTTCATATAAATTTTGGTTACCTTTATCCTGCTACTGTATGATGTCCTTTGTTGACAAATTCTCTTGATAAGTAGGATACACTGTAAGTGTATGGAACAAATAAACACTTTTTTGTGTCATTCAGGCAGGAGTGATTGGTGCTAAATATTTTTTCTAATTACCAGGTGCACTAGCAAACCATAATTAATCTAACTCAAAATTCAAGCCTAAATTGCTCATGTAACGAAAAAAAAGTGGATAGTTAAAAAAAGAAAAAGAACTCCTCCAGTTGTACTTGAGCATGCAACACTTCTATGGTCAACATCTTCAGTACAAATAATTCAAGCAAATAACTTCAGGTGAAATAGTGATTTTTCGGAATTTGTGAAATATAAAGTAGACCACAGTGCACTAATATACAATAAATCCATTCTATCTTTTATTTACTTGCAACTATTTGGCTCTAATTGTTCAATACTATTTCACTGATTATAGAAAGTAACTCTTTCTGTCCTTCCAATTTGCCCTTATATACTTTGGAATAAAATAAAGCAGTTGACACCAGATTGAGGAGTCAAGGCTATTTTATTCACCCATTCATTCATAATTGTTGGTAAGATTTCTTTTTTATATGGGTTGCTGTAAATGTCAAGGTTTTAAATAAATTTTTTGCAATTTAAATGTTTGTATTTTTTTTTAAACATGTTACTGCTCTGGAAATGCACTTGATGTGAAACTCTGTAACCAAACAATTCCAAAGGAGGTTTTGTAGACAAATTCATGGGTCTGGTGTGAACATGCTTAACATGTTGATGGCCATGTCTAGGTACTATTCACAATTTGGAGCAGGGGAATTTTGGATATAACTTGAATTAAGCATGCTTCAAAACCCAGTCAAAACTGTTCAAGTGAACACATGACCCATTAGATGTTTAATTATTAGTATTACAATATCAAGCAGGCAGGTGATGAGAATAGAGAAGAATCTTTCTCTGAACTAACATCAATAAGGAGTGAAGGGGTGTGCCAAATAGCTTGCCTTACAGATTTTGTTTAAAATTAAAAAAAGTATTTCTCCTCAAGTTGCCTCCATTTCCAGTCTCTCCACATTTCATAATGATGGCAGAACATCTCTGCATACTATAAAATAATGAAAATAATAATGATATTCCCCTAAACTACTTAACATGTTACAAGAACATCTTTGTATAGTATACAATAATAAAAATAATAGTTAATAATAATAATCATAACAATAATGATAAAGTAAGAGAAAACCTAAACAGTAGAAAACCATAAATCACTCACAAATTCTGCATACCTAATAAGCAGCATCTTTGGGAGGCTTGAGGAGCTCATACAGGACAAAATCTTTATCATCTGGTTCACTGGCTGTAAAAAAGCACACAATGCTTTCATTAGCAAATAACAAAAAACAAAAAGGTTTATATAGATGAATAGTTATGGAACAATATAGCAAAAAACTCATTTTACAAAATCAAAGAGACAAAGAGTGAAAATGGTCAACATATTAATTATCTTGAATATTGTTTTCATTTGACAACTCTGTGTCTGTCCAATTGTTTAATGTCTAATGAGGGAAGAAGAGGGGGGAGAGGAGGGGTAAGAGGAGGGAGGAGAGGAGGGGGAGAGGAGGGGAAAAGGAGGGGGAGAGGAGGGGGGGGGAGGGGGAGAGGGGAAGAGGAGGGAGGAGAGGAGGAGGAGAGGAGGAAAAGAGGAGGGGCAAGAGGACGGAGGAGAGGAGGAGGAGAGGATGGGGAAGAGAGAGGAGAGGAGGAGGAGAGGAGGGGGGAGAGGAAGGGGAAGAGGAGGGAGGGAGGGAGAGGAGGAGAGGAGAAAAGAGGAGGGGGAGAGGAGGGAGGAGAGGAGGGGTAGAGGAGGGAGGAAAGGAGGGGGAGAGGAGGGAGGAGAGGAGGGGTAGAGGAGGGGGAAGGGAGGGAGGAGGGAAAGGGGAAGAGGAGGGGGAGAGGAGGGGGGAGAGGAGGGGAAACAAATGGATCATCTTCCATATCTTCATAATCCTCCTCAAAATCCCCTGATTCATACTTACCAAGAAAAGCAACACCAAAACCAGCAGAAACCTCTTCCATGGTTTTTTTAGGACTCACTCCTGTTCTGCATTTATTGATTCCATCTTCGCCTATTCTTGCACTGCTGTCTTCACCAGCACAATGCACAAAACAGTATCTGCCAGTTTATCATAAACATATTTCTGGCATCTATTGAAGCTACAATCTGCTAAATAAAATAAAGTTCTTGTGAATAAGTAATAGCTATATAAGATTGCTACCTTAAACATACATTTATTGATAAACCCTTTACACCCTGACATCAGTTTGCATATTCTCCATACTGTTCTCTATACATTTCCTAAGGTGCTGATGAGGAGAATTTGTTTAAAAATCAAGAGCTTTATAAGTTGTTGGTCATATCCTTGATTCTTGTAACTTTAATGCTTGATTCAGGGGTGATATTGTATGGAGAAATTAGAAGCTGGTCACTCTCAGGGGTTAAAGGGTCAAGATTTTTTCTTTCATTAATGTATTGCAAACTGTACATCACTGGTAAAACAGATCCTATTTAATGGCTCTGTGATGACCTCTCTACAAGTAACTGGAATTGAGGCAATGGAAAATATTTTTGCATGCTCAGTGTATTGTAGCATGATAGTATTTAAAAGTTTCCTGTTTCTAAATTCCAGCAGTGGATAACTCTTGTATTCCAGCATTGTTATTTTCCAGCCCCTCTCAGCTGTTCTCAGTTTCTCAGCAGGAGTTAACTGTTGTATTCCAGTACTGTTAATTTCAAGCCCCACACAGCTGTTCTGAGATTACCAGCAAGGAATAAATATTCTTTTCCAGTACTTACTTGTATTTTCCAGCCCCTGTAAGCTGTTCTGTCTTTTCTGTTTTCCAGCTGGAGGTAACTGTTATTTCTAAGCACAATTATTTTCTAGCCTTTCTAGGCTGATTGGAGTTTTCCTGCTCAAGTTAACTGTTATTTTCCATAAAAACTGAATAATGTACATAAGGACCCAGGCATGAAGCGAAGAAACTTTCCTTGGAAACCTTGGAAACAAGACAATAATGTTTTTAATTGCTCAGATCAATACTAAAAAATTTAATTGTTTGTTGAAAACAATGATATGTAATGATATGTAATGTTATATAATGTTATAATTATAATGTTAAATGTTACATAATGTTGGAAATATCAAGGCCAACAGTAATTTTTTGAACATAAAAATTTAATAAATTGACACCTGTGGAGTATGTAGCATCACTTATGAATGAGACAAGAATGTGCTTTTAAATTTCCATCATACCTGAATAATGTCTGTGTAAAATTTGAGCTCAAATGTAGTATTTTTAACTTATAAACCTACTCCTGGTAAGTGGCCCTGGCAACCTATCTTTACATGTAACTGCCAATAAAATAACCCTCCATTTTTATAAAGATCTGAGTAAGCTTTTAAGGCCTTCCTATCATTTTTTTAAAGCATGGCCTCGCAAACTTTTTCTTTTAGCTCCACTGATAAAAAACATTTAGGGAAAGTCATATAATCGACAAGCACAACTAGTGCTTAAATACTCAGTTGGCAATTGACTGAGACACCATTAGCACCACAATAAAAAAAGCAAGAACCCTCAACTGGCTGAAACTTGCATCATTTAGTTTCATACTGTTCTTCCCGCATTTCCTGATACATTAACCTACATTTAGTGGACACCTCTTTAACACAGAACCAGGGAAGGTTCTCCAAGGGGTTACCTTTGATACTTTTATAACTATAAAAGTAATAGCTTTCAATGCAGTTTAAAGTGATTTAATATTTTAAATACAGTTAACTTCTCCACTTATCACACAACAACTGTGCAAAGCATGTCAACAGTAAATAACAAACATGGAGAGTTACAAATTACTTTCAGTACTTTAGAGAGCAAGCAACTTGTTCCTTACCATCATTTTTCTGTATTTTATTTCCATTTACAGAGTCAAGTGGCTGTAACGAAAAAAAAAAAATTCAAACAGTAGTTTAGTCATTAACATAGAATTAAAGAAATACTCTCACTTACGAGCAGAGATTGTCAGTAAGCGTCTTTTATTTTGACCTCCAGAACAGTTTTGATACCAAAGGTACCTTCCCAGTGTTCAAAAGGAAAACATCATTGCCTGATTCATCACAGTGATCTGAATAAAGAAATATTGAAAACTCCTTTCAGAAAAGATTATCATACCACTATTAAGACTTACTTTCTTAAACTACATGAACCAAACACTCATGCCCTTGGAATTTCAATCACTCACCACTTTTTGTGAAGAAAGAGCTGACATCATATTAATCACAAGATGAGATTGTTCAAAAGTAGTGCGATGTACTTCAACCTGTGAGTCTGCATGGTTTGAAAAATTTTTGTTTAATACTGACATTTCCTTTTTAATTCAACTGTAGTTAATTAATCAGAAGAAATCCTTAAATTAATTATACATTAATTATCTCAACCCAGACAATCACACAACTTTTCACACACCTTGCAGTTGAAATCTCATGCAATACAAAATGGTTAACATAAAAAAAAAACCTTTCACCTTTAGGTATTGTATCTATCATTCATAGGAAAATACTCATCAGATACAAGAGCTTACTGTCAGTAAAACCCTGAGCATGATAGAATGTTATTGCCTTAATTTCTTCACCACAAATAAAGTTACATTTTACAAGTTACCTTTCTCAGTGTCCTCTGTTGTTGGCATAACTGCTGAAGACTTTTGTCGCCATCTGAACCAGATTTCTATTCAAGAATAAAATCATTTAATCATTAATCAATTATCAGCCCATGTTGATTGAACTTCTTAACCACTGTCTTGATTGTTTAACAGGTTAACTGTCTACATTATTTATTCTATATTACACATTTTCCTTCTTATAAGCCAAGGGTGACTGTTGATGTGCCCACTGATAATTTAGGTTATCCTAAGGAAAATCAACAGCCACCACTTGCCAAAGGACACTCTTACATCATCTTTTGGCAAATGAAGGTGAAAATGAAATCAATAAAATTTAATGAATGAATGTATCAACATTAAATAAATAAAAGGTTCTTTTATACCAAATGCAAGTTCCATTGATTTTTCTACTTACAATCTTCTTTCCACTAGGCTCAGGTGATGATGGGGACTGGGGAGGTTGATGAATAGGGGGGCCAGAGCTTTCCTGAACAGGCACTATGAACAAGTCAAATGGTTGACAATTTGAATGTTTATTTTTATGTTTAGTAGATATTTAAACATTCACAGAAAATTCCTTGATTACTCCCCATGATAGAACATCAACTAATTTTCACTCATGGCGAGGTTTATACTGAGTCTACAAATGCATAATAATTGCAAATGACTCTTTCTTCAGCTTAACCCTATTTAACATGTTACTTCTCCCTGTAATATTCACACATCATCTGGCAAACAGATAGTGAGAATACCCAAACTTATCTGGTAGAACTTTTTACCCTGAAATATGAGGCATCACCAGCAATTGATGAGGGCATCAAGTGCTGGTGATGCCTCATATTTCTGAGCTGGAAATTGGAGCTCCTCCTTCAGGCCCAAAGACTGTGGTGAGACAAAACATTGACTATCCTAAGTAAGTATAGATTGGGAGAATATTCTACCTGGGATACAAAAGGCTAATGGCAGCTCAGGCTGAACTACTTGCTTATAGGGTTAAATATGTAGCAACCAGTGGGGAGAATTAATATTCAGATATTTAAGTTAAAGGGTTAAAACACTGGCAAATTTTACAAAAGTTAACTATTTTAAGTAAGTACAGATTGAAAGAATATTCCAACTAGAATATACAAAAGGCTAACTGCAGCCCTTGGCTGAACTACTTGCAATAGGACATACTCATTAAACAGCAGTAATTACCTTCTTGACTGGGGGCATTGATTGCTGGGGAGGCCTCAATTATTTCTGAGCTGGAATTGGAATTCCTCCTCCAGGCTCAAAGACTGCAGTAAGACAGTAACTATCCTAGGTATACTAAGTACAGATTGGGATACTAGTCCACCTGGGTTACAAAAGGCTAACAGCAGCCATGGCTGAACATATTGCAATAGAGCATACTCATGAAACAGCAGTAACTACCTTCTTGACTGGGGGCATGGACTGGAGGTCCTCCCTCAGGCTCACAGACTGCAGTAAGACTCTCACTTGGTGTCACTTCACCATAGGATGATGTCAAGATTCCACACACATTTCAAGATGATGCACTACTATTACCAAACTCTTTCTCTGACTGTTTAGTGCTGCTTGATACCCTTACAACAACGTCCCCCAAGCTTGATGCAGCTGCTTCTATTATTCTCTCAATGTAAAGGTCGAGCTGCTGTTCATCGATTTTCATTGACTCCCTAGAACTGGGAGTAGCATTCTGAAAGTAATAAATCATTATAATTATTTCTTAGCTGAAAAACTGTGAAAGAGAAAAGTATAAATAAACTTCCCATTTGCTGTTATAATATTAATGACAATAATTAATTTAAAAAGGCATTTAAATGTTATGATTGATTCTTTTGATACAAATTGTTCCTGAAGCACAGCATGCACTACACTTATTTGAAACCCCATTTGAAGCCAGCTGGTGCACACACAATTCTATATTTAAACTCAAGAACCTGGTACTTAATAGGCTCCTAGCTTTAAGGCAGCTAATGCATCAGGTTTAAAATGAAAAAAATTAAATTTTTTTACATATTTAAAAGGAGAAAAGTCACTTTAGAAAAGTAAAGTAGAAACTATTACCCTGGTCTTGATTCCTTTAGAGGTTCAAGTAGTTCATGTATGATATACACACTAAATCTTAATTCTTTAGAGTTCTGTCACAATATACAGACTGGTAAACCAAAAGCTGGTAAATCCTTATAGGTTTATGCATAGTGGACTCAAAGAGATTTGATAAACAGGGTTTGAAAATAAGGAGAATCTAGTGCACTTTAGACAAGGTTAGTTAGTTTCCAATTGGGAAATGTTGAAAATAAGCTAAAAAGTGCGCCATTGCAATATGTAAAATAATCCAACTGCGCTCTTTCTTAAAGAAGGTAGATTATTGCATTTCTACGACAATGAGACCCTCACCATATAAATTGAGTGTCAAGCAATTCGACAAAGAAACGGCCGCCATACTAAAGTGAACGTTTGAAGAAAATGAACGAGCAGCTGAAGATTGCTTTCCTCTCTATCGATCACTTAGAGTTCTCCTTCACGTTTTTGGACAGAGATACTCTGTCCAATACTCTCTAATACTCTCCTTTCAAAACGTCTGCCAGACGATCGATTGGGATCGTTAAAAAAGTTCGCCATGTTTTAGCCATAAATTTATTCCCTGCCCCTCCCCTGTAAAGACAATGTTTTGACTCGTAACCAGGGTCCACGCCGTGCCCTGACACTTTTCTTGAGAAGATTCCTTTTAAGCCAAGGGTGGCGATCATCCCCAAAAATTGAAAAAGTTATTTCAAACAAAAAGAATGACGAATGAGATTAGCAATTCAGTATAAACGAAACCTCGCTAGTAAATAAGTCTCCAGCCTGTAAGCGCGCGCAAAAATACCGCACTATTGCACGAATAGGAAAAAACCTTGTTCAGATATTCCATCTTGCAATGTTTTCCATAGTGCTATGTTGTCTTGAAAATAGTTCGTTTTCTGCCTATCCCTTGTCTGCACTTACCTGGTATCCTTTCCACTTGCAGCCCGAGATTTTTGACAACTCTGCTCATGAATGAAGCGCGCGCATTTTATTCTCATTTCACGCGTGAAAAGATCCACTTGCCGCGACAAAATCTTTCCGAATTCTCATTGTTCTTAACCACACAAAACGCTGAAAGATCGAAACCTAGTCAGATTTGTTCTGACCATGCGCCATTTTGGACTACTAACAAGGCCATCCGGAGCGGTGCTATTCCGTCGATCTCTAAGACTGTTGTATTTGTTGTTGTTGTTGTTGCCATGGTTGTTGTTGTTTTATTCGTACAAAAGACGCAATTTGGTTATCTAAGACCTGCGCATCTTGATTTCGCAGACGTTTATGTTTATTAGTTGGCTGTAGCTGTCAATAAGTAAGAATAGGATTTCCTTGCGCTTGCTTTGGTGCCCGCCCTTTGGAGTTTTTTTGGTCCCCAGCTCCGTTTTTTTTCCATGCTCCGTGTTCATTTCAAACGGTGTCACTTTTCACTTGAGTTTTGGGGATATGAGTCCAATCGAAAAACAGTAATGAAAACATTTGCGTGATGCATAGAATTTGTTCAATGAGAAGCTAAGTGATCGCAAAAGTAACATTACAAACACCGTGCAAAATGTTGATTTTATCTATTATATATTATTATATATTATTTCCGCTTTAATATTACTTTTAGCTAACCCTTTCCCATTATTCAGCTATTTATTCTTGGCGTCAAATTTCCTTGCGTTTACATCTGGTCCTTCATTCCCTACGCTTTGTCTCTTGGCTTCCTCTTCCAACACATATGAATTCTTCTTTTTCTTCTAATTTAAAGACAACTCAACTTTATGTATGCAGGAGCCCAAAGGCCTGGCACACGACAAATTCCGAATGTGTCCGACGAAATATAGCTAGGATCTTATTTTAACCACCCTAAGTACAAAAAAATTAACAACGAATAGTACTCACGTTTACAGGGCTCATCTCTTTGATTGCTTCCATCACTTTCTTGAATTTTCCTCCGAATGACTTATGAAGCGCCTAACTCCAACCAACGGAAAGTTATAATGACGGGTTGTAATTTTCGCGCGTCGTGATGACGTAACAGACGAGATAATAAACCAATCAACAGATTAGCAAGTATACGTAGCTTCTGCCTCGTTTTCAGGCGCCTTTGCTCTGGTTCAGGAAAGCGCGGGAAAATGCCCGAGTGTGCAGACTGCTGGAGAGGAGGTTATTGACAGATTTTAATAAACGTTCGCCCATTGACTACCTCAGGCTCTAATTTACTCAAAGCGATTGCAAAAGCAACGGACAAGTCCAAGAAACGAGACTGAGAAAGATCGGGAGCTTATCAGGAAAAATAAAGGGGTGCATCGTTCCGCATGTAAACCAGTGTAGGGCTGTCGGTTGATTTGGCCACCACGACGCGCTGACCACTGACTGCGAAAATTTAACACAGACTTCTCGCAAATGAAGGGTTCTAGATAGAAGAATGAGAAAGATCGGGAGCTTTTCTGGAAATGATGAAAAGAGCGCGTCCTCCCGCAAGAAAACCAAGTCTTCAAGCAAGCTGCTTTGTAGTTGATACTTAGTTTGCTTGCGAACATATGAAAATGAGAGAAACATATGAGTGCTAAGTTCTGCTTCGTACGTAGCATGAAACCACTTGGCTATAAATTAACGAACATTCCTCGCCAAAAGTAAGCTTCGCTCATCCGACCCGTGAATGATACAAAAGAGATGATATTAAACCTTTGACCACAAGCAGTGACCATTAAGTAAATTTTGGTCACAAGTTCATTACACAGTTTGAAGGACAGGCAATGGAAAGACAAAAAGTGACTAAACTGGATTGAAGCTTTGATATCACAACAAATTGTCGATATCAAAAAACATGGAAATATATATAGGGCACCAGTTATGAACATCCATTTTCAGATGCTGGGAGTGAGTACGTAGCTTCCAAAAACTGGAAAGGTTTCTAGAAAGTATTTCACTTTGGATATCATGGTTCATTTTACCTGATCCGTAAAACATTCTACGAGGTGGCTCTTCTTGTCCACTGACACAAATTGTCAATAAACAATGCAGGTAAACGTAGAGTTTAAAAATCTCAATTGGCCGGAGGCAAACCAATCGGCTATAGACAAAGTGCAGCCAAGGAGTTGAGCTCGAGCAATCGAGAACAAATCCAGTAAGTTGCAGGGTAAAGGACTTTAACCTGGAACCTAGTGCCTTAATCCCTCGGGCACACAAAATTAACGCTGTTATTTCTGTGAGTCGTGACGTTTGTTTTCCTAAACCAATTCACACGCAACACACGCCCTCTAGTATCAGGCTTCAGGAGTTTTGTGTTTCATTTCACGTCATTTTTCACCTCAAGCGAACGCCAGATATTTTGTATTGTACTGTTTTGTTTTTCTTCCCACCTACCCTCCCACCCTCGGTGATTTTACGTGATGTCATAGGGTGGCAGAGAGGTTTACTCAGCACATCATTGGCTGTTGTTTACTTTTCGTTCGTATTCTTAATAAACTTCTCTCTGTGCCGAAAAGCGAATTGTGTTTTATTTGTGTCAGGGAGCGTAGTTGGGGAATAAGTTTCTTTTGGGAAAGGCTTTTCAACGACGATAGGAACATCCTTTGCAACCGCATTACTTTGGAAGGAAAGAAAAATCACAGGGTGCCCACTCTCGTCCTAGGAGCTACTCGTTTTCTCTCATTTCGAACATGAGGAATGCTTGTGGATTGTGTTTCTAAGACTTACCTCATAAGTTAAGCGTTTAGAGTAACAAGGAAACATGTAAAAATACTGAGAAAAAATGTCAAAATAATAAAAGTAATTACATAAAGTATAGCTAATTAAATCGTATGAAAGTGAGAGAATAATGTTATGTGAAGCGCTCGAGAAGTATTTTAGTAATGTTAAGGTATATGTATACGAAGTATGCTAAGTTTTTGGGAGATTTCTACTCCAAGCGCAGTCTATTAAGTATATTTTGGTTGCTTTTGGCCTCGCACCAGCTGCAGGCATTGTAATTAACAACGTATGAATAAATGGGTTTAGTTTCTAAGGAAATTGTGGTGCTGCATCGGTGAGGGGTACAACGAGATAATTTGATTTTATAATCCAACTGCACAAGGTAGAGTTCAAATAACGCGAATATATGTATATACCACATGTGTACAGTTGGTTATTTTGTTCTGTAAAAAAATCCGTTTAACAGGCCGGCTGCGCACGCTGCGCTTCTCTATCCACTTTGCTTTTCTCGCCTTATGAGAAATGAGCAGAAAGACTTGGCGGGAAAAAAAAAAAGCACTTGGATCATAAATAACCTAGTAGACTATTCATTGGTGTGTAGTATTTCCTAGTATTTTCACTCCTTGTTTGAATTCGACGAGCCTGTGGGGGAAGTCAAAATACGGCACAGCTCCTAAAAATACTCAGGTATGTCACCGCCAGATAAAGAAAATCCGAAAAAATCACCTTGAATCTTATTTCGCAAGATAATCATCTCACGGCTGGAGCTTGGGCTGCCTGTGGTGTGAGTTCAGATAAGTTAAGTTTTTTTTTCTCTCAAGGTGAAGTAACGCGATATTTTCGTCCGTCTGAAAGTCATGCTCTTTTTCTGTTACATGCCTAACAACTCACGTTCCATCACGTACCATAAAAACAACGTCCGAAGTCCGCTAGAACATACCCAATCATTGCACTACACGAACATTAGTCAATTTTTTACGTGCTTGAATTGTATTCCACCAACCAAATTCACATTTACGCGCGCCCGGGTATTATTCACTATTCATGACTCATTTCCTCGGGAAAGTTAACAATGTATCATCAACTTTTGGTTTTCCTGAGAATGTCACGCAATGGTAAAAACATCAGTATGGTCGTGAAACAAAAAGTGAGTCATTTGCATCATTTTGGTGGCAGTGAGAAATTTTTAACGCTTGCCATCCCCAGCTCGAAGAAATCAAGCTAAATTTCATCCTACGTCGTGAGATCACTAGGAAAAGAGTACCCTCTCGACACCGTTCTTGTTATCAGTCACCTTCTGAAGAACTCATCAAAATATCTTCGGTCTTGCAAAATTTTACAAATTTATCAGGTTCTTAAGGACGAATTCCACGCTCCGTCGTTGACGAAACGTCGTTTTAAGGTAAGCTCTGAAATAATTAATTAAACTAAGTGGATTTTTGTCTCACCCACTCGCAGTGTTCCATCAGTAACATTGCCAGTTTGTATTAACAAAGAAAAACTTTCTACATTGTAAAATATAGATAATCCGGTATGAGGCGTGGGGTCTTGGTTTCATATAGGTCTTTCAGCAAAGTGAGCCGGCAACAACACACCAGGCCATATGATCGCAGACAAGAGCAAGTTATGAAAATGTTATCGATCTAAAGTGCTGCGTTCCTGCTTAGTCTATTTTTTTAGAAGAATATTTAGTGAGAACCGAGAAAACTGAGTGTTACGAGATAATCTGAAGCCTTTTTCCTTTTTATTTTGATTATAAACTACCGTCTACGTGTTACATCCTGTTCGCATTATAGAAATTGAAAGAGGAAGCAGTTGTCATAAACACGTTTCGAGGGGAAGATGTAAAACGCTCCTTGCTTATTAAATGATAAAAAACTTGGCAGGTATTTTCAGTCAGAGAAAAATTTAAGGCGACAAATCAAAAAACGAATTCTTTAACGCATCATTTGACTTCTTTTGAACAAATGTAGGTTATATTAAGAACACAGCGTAACTGAATATTTATCAGCACACCTGTGGAAAATGAAAATAAGCCTAAATCCAACTCGCACATAGATTTTGGAATAAATGATCGTCTTCTTTGCCCTTTCTTTTGTCCTACATAAATTAACGAGTGAACCACATGCTCCTCGTTCTTGTTCGTCATAACTCAAGTCGAAAATTTTACGAAAATTTGAAATAAGATTACCTAATTGCGTTTGTTTGTTCCACATAAAATCATGAGTACATCACGTGCTACCCGTTCGAGTTTTTCATTGAAGGCATTTTGGGTGGCGGATATTCATCTATTAGTTTAGTTTGAAATGACAGAAGGAAATAGTCCAATATGAAAGAAAGAAAACATTACTATTAATCCGAGTCATTACGTTAGTGCCATACCTCCTGACTGTGGTGTACTCAAAGTTCTACGGAGCATGCCCGAAGGTGTTTGGTTTCAAAAACAACATGGCGCGATCGGTAAGAAGTAAAGATCGTGCTTCTAAAGACAATAGGAAATATAAACCCGGGGTAAAATTGTATCAAGTGGAAAGACTTGTCAGCAAGCGGAAATCGTCGAACAAAGTTTCGCATATTATCTTGATAATTGTGCAGAGTTGCAAACAATGGACAGCTGATTTTATGACGAGCGTATTTGCGTGTACACTATAATAAATCACATTTGAATTACTTACCATAAAATACCTTGCTAAATTTCCAAAGTGGCTACCAAAACAACGAAAAAAAAGTGCCGATGCGGTGAGCGTTTTCTATATTTTTCGCCTTGTTGTGCCATCCCTGGTGAAAATCTTTGAAGGATCTTTAACGTACCTACAAGATCTTAATGAGAACCTTTAAAGACCTTCAAAATTCTTCTTAAGATCTTCAAGGATCTTTCATTTTCTTGCTAAGATCTTCAAGGATCTTTCATTTTCTCGCCAGGATCTTCAAGGATCTTCAAAGTTCTTGCCAATTTTGCCAAATTAGACTTCACTCCATCACGTGTCATTTCCTTGTAAACAATTTGCATTTAATCACGTATTCCATCCGCAATATCCAACCCCACTGGAAAAAATGGGGTTGTTGGGATGTTGGGCAATAACCCCCGAAAAAATCGAGCACGGGCTCAATGGAAGAAAACAAATCGTGCAATTGGCGAAAGACCCCCCCCCCCCCCCCCGCATCAAAAATCTAATGGTCCGTCAATAAGGTATCTTTTACATTATTCTAAAATGAAATGAATTTCATGCCGCGTTTACATGCAAGATAATTTAGATTATAAAAACAAGTAGTAAAAACAAGTATTTACGTCCCTTTTCTATGCTTCCCTCGCTCCTAAAGAGGATTCATACAAATATGAGTGTCGTACCGCGTTTACTTTACACAGGTACAAAAGGTCGTCCAGAATTAGTGTTTCGTTCTGGAATGAAAACCTCAATAAACTCCTTCAGAAATGACTCGTTTCGAATAGTTTTATTCTGGTATCATGTGGCAACCGAGATAAACTCATTCTTGAACAAAACTCATTCCGATATCATGTAAAAGGCCCCTAAGGCCTAGTTCAAACGTCGATCTTTACATGTACCGAACGTAACTGTTTCGTTCTACCATAAACACACGATTTCTAGGTAACGAACAGTCTTTATTTGTAAACTAAGTGCGCTCTCATGTAGATATATGTGATCTAAAACCTTTTGCGATTAGATAACATCGACCGCTGTATCATGTGTCACCTGAGGTGCACGTGATCTCCGAGTGTGCTCTCGTTACATCCTTTCTTTCATAAGAAACAAAACGAAAACAACGGAACAATCAAAACAAACATGAGAAACAAAAAAATCAAAACCACTATCCAAAAGAATCAACTAGTCAAGTCCGGTAATGTCTTTGTCTCTCATGACACTGACTCAGGTTAACGAACAAAGTCTTTCAGATAGGACGGGGGCTTCGTTATTCGACCACTGCGAGTCTGGTTGCCTTTGGAAGCTTGCGATGCTAGATCAGTCGCAGGCTGCTCGATCGCTGGCTCCTGTGGCTTCGCTACTTCTGAGCTGGAGTGACCACTGGCGTTAGTTTCTTGTTCAATGTGTTTAGATGGCGAGGGAAGTTCTGTCTGCTTGGGCATCTGGGTTGTTGGCGTGTGAGACTCTTTTGTAGTTGCTTTCAGATGCCTTCTATTTCGTCTAAGGGCAGAGCCATCTTCTGTGAGGACTTTGTAGGATCGCATGTTCACCTGTTCCTGAACAGTGGCTTTCTTCCAGGGCGCCTTGGGGTTGCTTGTGGGCTGAATGCGCACTGAGTCTCCAGTTTTCAGTGGTGGCAAATCTCGAGTGTTTCTATTGTAGTAAAATGCCTGCTTGGTTCTTGTCTTCCATTTTCCTTCTTGGACATTTTCGGCGAGTTTGGGTTTAAGGAGCTTCTCGCTTGTTGGGAGTAGGGTCCTTGTTCGACGACTCATTAGTCGTTGTGCTGGACTGCTTTTCATGCCTTCTGAGGGTGTGTTTCGGTGGTCGAGGATCGCGAGCCAAGGATCTGTTCCATCTTTGTTAGCCTTCTTAATAAGCCTTTTCACAGTCTTGACTGCGCTTTCCGCCATACCATTGGACTGCGAATGTCCGGGACTTGAGGTTAAATGATTGAATTCCCAATCTCGAGCAAATCTCCTGAATTCGTCCGAATCAAACTGTGGGCCATTGTCGGAAAACACAGTGTTCGGGATGCCATGCCTTGCAAAGTGTTGCTTCAATTTGTAAATAACAGCTTTAGATGTTGTACTGGACTCCAACCTATCGACTTCCCAGTAGTTGCTGTGGTAATCTACGGTCACGAGGTAATGTCGGTTGTTTGTCTCAAACAGATCAACACCAACCTTGGACCATGGCCGGTCAGGTACCTCATGTGGGTGGAGTGTTTCCTTCTGCTGGGAGATCTCAAAGGTTCGACAAGTTTCACACTGTCTGACAAAGTTCTTCACAGCTGTGTTCATTCCTGGCCAGAAACGCTTTCTCTCGCGCGTCTCAAGCATCCTTCCACGCCAATATGTGATCGGTGGATTCTGGATAGGACTTCTGGTCTGAGGGATTTTGGAACTACACATCTGTCTCCTTTGAAGATAATTCCATCTTGCGCTGATAGCTCGTCACGAACGTTGAAGTATGGCGTGACGTCATTTGGGAGATCAATCTTGGTCTCAGGCCACCCTTCTCGAATGACTTTCTGAAGTGCTTGCATCGTGCTGTCTCGCAGACTTTCTTTACGGATATCGTCTAGGCTAGCTTTGCGGAGTGGCAGAAACTCGACCATATGTATTTCTTCAACTTCTTTGTCGATGGTTAGCACTTCATCGCGCGATGTGGTGTTGGGAAGGGGTGCTCTAGAGAGTGTGTCTGCCAGATACATGTGCTGGCCTGGCTTGAAACCAATTTCGAGGTTATACTTCTGCAGGCGAAGTAGCATTCGTTGTAGACGCTTGGGGGCGGCCACGAGAGGTTTGCGGTAAATAACTTCAAGTGGTTTATGGTCGCTCTCAACAATCACTTTGCGACCATAAGTGTATTGGTTGAACTTCTCGGCTCCAAACACTATGGCTAGCAGTTCTTTTTCTATTTGCGCATAGTTGCGTTCTGTATCCGTCAGGGATCGCGATGCGTATGCCACTGGCTGACCATTTTGTAAAAGCGTAGCTCCAAGTCCAGTGTCCGAGGCGTCGCATTGAAGTACAGTCTCTTTGGCGGGATCAAAGTATCGGAGGACAGGTGCTTGGGAAGCTGCTTCTTTGATCTTCTTAAAGGCGCTCTCATGGACGTCGCTCCAGTGCCATTCTGCATCCTTGCGCGTTAGCTGTCGCAGAGGTTCGCAAATGTCTGCCAGCTTTTTTAAGAATCTCGTCAGGTAATTCGCTAGACCAACAAGCCGCTGTACACCTTTCACATCTGTTGGTCGCCTCATGCCTTTGATGGCGTCTATTTTGGATGGGTCTGGTTTTAGTCCATCTCTTGTTAACACATGACCAACGTAGGGGATTTCTGTCATCTTCAACTTGAACTTCTCCTTGTTCAGTTTCACTCCCTTTTCGCGGCATCTTTCAAGTAGAGTTAGCAGTTTTTTGTCGTGATCTTTCACTGCTTCTTGCACAGTGTCACCTTCACCCGAGATGAGGATGTCGTCTGCAACTGTGCGCACACCGGGAAGGCCTTCGATGGCTTGATCCAAACGATGTTGGAAATATTCCGGTGCGGGTGATATGCCAAATGGCATCTTCAGCCACCGGTACCGACCAAATGGAGTGCCAAACGTTGTTAGATAGCTTGAATCTTCATCTAACTCGACATGCCAAAACCCGTTTTTAACGTCACACACACTGAAGACTTTAGCTTTTGACAAGTCCGGCAGGAGATCGTCGATAACCGGAAGAGGGTAGTGGCTGCGTTTCAAAGCTTTATTTAGTGGCTGAGGGTCGATACACACGCGAAGCTTGCCGTTGGGCTTCTTAACAAGTACCAAGCTTGAGACCCAATCTGTTGGAGTGTCAACTGCTTTGATAACACCAAGTTCTTTGAGACGAGTGAGCTCTTGCTTTAACTTGGGTTTCATTGCCACTGGAATCCTTCTAACAGGCTGTTTCACTGGTTCAATGGTTGTGTCCAACTCTAAGTGAAGTTTCTTCTCAAATTTTCCTTCTCCAGTGAAAACGTCATGGAAATCTGCTGCTATTTGTTGCATCGTTAGGCCCATTGCTTCTGTCTTTTCTTGTACCAATGAGATATTCTCGTAACGCACTTTGATTAATTTCATTTTCTGCACCGTTTTGGAACCCAACAGTGGCGTGCAGTCGTTATTGACAACAACAAACTCTGTTTCGCATTCTTCATCAACCTTGGGATTTACCAGATTAACACGACATTTACCAATGGTTTCCATTTTCGATCCGTTAAACATGCTGAGGACTTGTTTCGAATGCGCGATCGGGCACTCGTTCGGTAAATCGTTTTTGCTTATCACATTACAGGTGGCGCCACTGTCGACTTGAAAACGAACGGGATGACCTTTGATCTCCATTGTTGCGAAGATTTTCGATTTGATGGGTTGACTACTGATACTTTTGACACTTTGTTCTTCCAGATTTTCGGATGAAATCGTGAAGCAGTACTCTTCATCGCTCGAATCCTGCGAAGTTTTTGCGTCTCGCACTCGGTGAATCCGTTCTTTTCTTCGTTGTCGCCCACCAAGTTTCTGTTTACATAGCTTGGCGAAGTGATTTGTTTTGCCGCATTTCGCACATTCTTTTCCGAACGCTGGGCATTTATCTCTTGATCTCTCGTGTTTTCTGCCGCAGTATTTGCAATTAACTAACTTAGGACTGGCGTCTCTGCCGTCTTTTTTCTCTTTGTGGTTGAGTGCGTTGACTTCTTCTCTTCCACTCATGACTTTCATTTGCGATGCAGTTGTTTCGGCTGATCGACATACATCGATACACTTCTGAAGATTTAATTTGGGCTCTTGTAGTAATTTCTTCCTAGTTCCCGTGTCACAAATTCCACAGACGATCCTATCACGAATTAATTCGTCGGTGAGTGGACCAAAAATGCACGTTTTCGCGAGAGTTTTGAGCGCTGTGAGATACGTGTCAAATGATTCGCCGCTTTCTTGTTTTCTATTATTGAAGCAGTATCGCTCGTAAATGACATTTGTTTGGCCAATGCAATGCCTCTCCATCAACTCCAGAACTGTATTCATTACGTCCTTGTCTTCTTCTTTTTCGAACGGAAGACCATTGTAGACTTCGAGGGCTTCGGTTCCAATGCAGGTAATGAAAGTAGCTACACGGTATTTATCTTCTTGCTGGTTAAGACGTGAGGCGATTTCGAACGAATCCCACACTTGCTTCCACTTCTTCCAGTTTTCTGAAATATTTCCTGCCAAATTCAATCGTGACGGAATTGGTAAATTGCTTTGTATTCCATAACATGGCGTCGGCGCTTGAACACTCGCTGAACCTTGAGGTGGTGTAGTTGTCATCGTGTCGAAGAGGCTACACTCCTGGTACCATGTTTCGTTCTACCATAAACACACGATTTCTAGGTAACGAACAGTCTTTATTTGTAAACTAAGTGCGCTCTCATGTAGATATATGTGATCTAAAACCTTTTGCGATTAGATAACATCGACCGCTGTATCATGTGTCACCTGAGGTGCACGTGATCTCCGAGTGTGCTCTCGTTACAGTAACGTTTCTATTAAGTACATGTAAAGATCGACGTTTGAATCAATTAGGATCGGCAGATTTGTATTCGGATTGACAGTGCCGTTCTATCCGACTCGGCTAGTCGGATAGAACGGTAAAAGATCGGCATTGATTCATACGTCGTACTTTACATGTACCGAACTTAATGTATACATTATACATACGTTAAAATAATTATGTTTTACCCACAATTCAAGAAAGTTCGCTTACGTGCCATGCGCGAAAGCCTTCGAACCATTCAAACAATATGACGGGAAAGGAGGAAGGCTCGTGCTCCTCTTGTCTCATTTTCCCACCAGTCAGAATTTCTTTTCAGTCGACGACACGAACGAACTGGACGAGGAACTGTGATGTTCCTTTGGGAATAAGCAATAATAGAAGGCAAGCCAAATTCAAAACTCGTCTTCTCCTGGCAGCAAGGTTGTTTAATGCTAACTGCATCTTGAGTCGCCTTTTTCTACCCTCCTTAATCGCATTTGCAAGAAAAACAAGCTCTTCATTTCCACAAGTTGTGCTTCCCGCATTTTTTTCCGCCATTTTGGTAGGCATTAACCGCTGACTACAATGGAGTTATGTTCAGTTTTGCAAATAGGATCGACTAAATTCGGATCGACGTTTGAATCAACTGCCGCTCTTAATTATTCGAGTCGACCCAAATTGCAATTAGGTTCGGTACATGTAAAGATCGACGTTTGAACTAGGCCTAAGAGTTTTTATTCCTGAATAAAATTAAAACCTGGGCTCTCGGCAAAAAGTAATACCCAAGCGTAATATAATGACCAAAACAGCTTATTGGTCTTATAAAATCATAAATAAACTAGGTAAGAGTGTTATATTACAATAACTTTATAACCATCCTTTTGTCTTTTAAAAGCTAGAAGCTCAGTAGATTCTGTCGTATCGGTCATTGTTAAAACTGTCTTTGTTTTGATGCTACTTTTCGACATAGAAAAAGTATGTCGGACAAAAATATTCACCAAAAAATAAATATTTTTTTGCCAGCCTCAATAATGTCAGGGGATTAAGTTTAGATGATAAAACAAAGGATTATGCCTAGAGAAATACCGGAGGTCGAGTAAATTCGTTACATGAGGTCACACAACTCGGGTACTATTCAGAGCGAAAATTTGCATATTTGAGCGGTCGAATGAAAAAAATCATTTCTCAAAAACTAAAATATATTTTCACCAAAAAAAATACACCACAATTATTAGGACATATTGGGATACAAAATATGAAAGTAGGAGAGAAAACGAATTTGGGCGACTTGCCGCTGTTTGTCTGATGCATGTTGACATTAGCTCTTAACTTGCTTCTGGTTTTGTGTCTATGTATCCCTCCCATTCTCAGGAGGGAAAAGATATTTATTTTGCAACTGGGTAATATGTTGAGCTGATGTTTACAACCATTTTCAATCACCTTTTTTTCAGGCCGGGATGACTTAAAAGAACAACTTTTTAGGAAGCATCAGTCTTCTTACAGTTGCTATGGCTACAGGAAGAAGTTCAATTAAAGTTCCATGTGAAAATGAAGACTTACCTGACAAAGAAAATGCACCAGATTTTGACGAGGACACTTTACGAGGTGAGCTAGGTTCAACTTCGGCTTCAGTTATTGTTAGAACAATTTCTATTCGATCAGTTTCAGGAATGCAAGCAGATGTGGAAAAGGATATATGCAGTGTATGACCACTTTAAAGGATATTTGGCCAGTCATGACTCTCTTCTATGATTACAATATGC